TATATATATATATTGTGAATACACAACATAAATGTATGTTATTTCAACACAACACACACACACACACACACACACACCACACACACACACACACACACACACACCACAACACACACACACACACACCACACACATACACCACACACATATATATATATATGTGTGTGTGTGTGTGTGTGTGTGTGTGTGTGTGTGTGTGTGTGTGTGTGTGTGTGTGTGTGTGTGTGTGTGTGTGTGTGTGTGTATATATATGTATACACACACACAAATATAATATTATATATATATATATATTTATTATATATTATATACATACATACATACATATAAAACACATTTATGTGTATATACATATATGCATATATACATACATACATATATATATATAATATATATATTATATATATATATATATATGTGTGTGTGTGTGTGTGTGTGTGTGTGTGTGTGTGTGTGTGTGGTGTGTGTGTGTGTATGATGTAACACACATTTATGTTGTGTATTCAAATTAAATATATATACGTATGTGTGTGTGTGTGTGTGTGCATTTATGTATATACAGAGGCACACTGTACACTGTAGTATCATCATCATCAAAGGGGCTGACGCCGGGGCGCACAGCCGGATCCAACCTTCGCTTCCAGCCACGGGGTTCCCTCGTAGCGAGTCGTCAGGCAGACCCTCAGCCCATCTTTAGTTCTTCACGACAGGTCTGGTCGAGCTGCCCAAGCCATGACTTCCTCGGTCTTTCCCAAAGGCCTCCTCCACGCAGGATTGTCTCGTAGAGAGATATGATGGGCAGGGTCATCCACAGGGAAACAAGCTAAGTGCCCATATAGCCTGAGGTGGCAGTCACAGATTATGCAAGTAACAGTGGACTACTGGATTGCATCGAATGTTTCAGACTTAAAGGAACCCCATAGGGCTACAGGGTCTGTCAGGATTTCAAGCACTGTTGACCAGTTAGAGATTGTTGCAGGAAACCTACGTGTACACTCCTCTTCCCCCAATGTGTCCAGGTGAAACACCCTTGAGTGGCCACTAGAGAGACGGGGGATTTGAAGTGAACCCGCAACCAACAACCAACCTATGGTCAATGCCACAGAACTCGGCACTCCTGTGAACCCTGCAATTCTGAAGAATCCTTCAGCGAGTGCTAACAAGTATGTGGTCAATCTCCTTGGCCACAATGCCTGTATCACTGTGCCAAGTCCAGCGATTCGGGTTGGAGCGCTGATACCAGGAGCCAGAAATCCTCCTTCTCTGGACCTACAAAGTCCTGGAGAAGGAGGCAGTTCTTGCTTCTTAGATCAGCTCCCGAGCCATGGGACCGACAGACATCTTGTAGCCAGCTCGATCACAGCCAGAGACTGCAATATGAATGTCTTACCAGGGCATTTGTTTACCACAGATGTGTTTGACATAGAACGCGACAAGTTTACATACATCAGTAGGAGCGTACACAGCAATGTGAGACACAAAGCCAAAAGTATGCTTCAGTCTCAATGCAATAATACATTCATCAACTGGAGACTATGGTTACTCCCTGGAGATGATGACGCCCCAGCCCAACCAGTAATAGCTGTACTTACCCATACTGATTGTGCCACTGCCAGGTCTCCTCACCTCTGAAAGGCAGCCACTTCACCTCTTCGCCACTTCAGTTCTTTCGATAACAGGGAAATCTATCATCCTGGCGTAAAGACCGAATGTTCAAAGCTCCCATCCAAACAGCCGCCTTGGGTTAAACCTCGAGCAGTTGCTCTTGGCAGATGCCACCTCTGCCATCCCTGCCAACTTTGGCCCATATAAAAGGCAGCATGCTGTGGGACCCAATGTCCACCTGTGGAGTTCCTGAGGGCTTTGCCCCATAAACCTCACATTGGGGTGGAGGCTGCCAAAGAACAGCAAGACGAGTAACTCCCATTCCCATCCTGAGCCCTGACCTTTCCCATGGGACCCACAGCCTGCCTCACTTGCTGGGTAGGAGGGGCAGTTTCCCTCCCATTTCCAAATATGATATACACTGCTGACTGTAGTATTATGCTGTGAAATGTCTCTTAACACAGATGGCTCCACAAGTGCTTAGCTACAAAGGAAAGTTAGTAAACCTTGCTACCTTGTTTCTGCACCATTTTTCACCTTGCCTTGAATTTGCAGGAGAACATATTTTTTTTACTAATGCTATCAGTATCAGTGCTGTTGATTTTCTTATAGATATCTTAACCATAGTGTTATGGACATTACTAAAATCAAGGAAAAGGCTGAACTGGTGAGACAGGTAGCACTCATAATTGGCTCATTGGTAATTTGTCATCTACATTATGTGTAAAAACTATTCATTAATTAAATTCACTTAGGCATGACATGTATATATATACGTATAAGCCATCCCTGAGACTCATTTTCTTCTCTTTTGAAAGGACAATAAACCTCCTCTGGAACATCATTCAATATTTTATTTTCATAACAAGAAGCAATACAATAGTTTATTTTTTTATTTTTTTCTTGACTAGAGATTAGTTACAGGTACAAAGTATTCTTCATGCCTCTATAGTCTCTGTAGTTGAGCATAAAAACTAAAGCATTATTGATCATTACCTGGGATTACCATCAATGTTGTGAAAATTCAATGGACGAATGAAATAGATGGAATAAGATACAAAAGAAGAAATATTGATCTCATTCACCAATATTGCTTCATTTAATGTTTCTCATGCTCTTACAAGAAACTGAACAATTTATGAGAACACAAATAATTATTAAAAAATATATTAAAAGCCAAATCTCTAAAGACATATCAAAAGGAAAGTAAAATCAGTATTGTAACATATTTAATGCGATCTAAAAGTTATCAGCCCATTGCTGCACGGTATGTACCTGTATCTGTTGTAGTTTTGTTTTGTGAATTTTGTTTACAACATATGGCTCTACAAATGCTGTCATTAAGGACTCACATTAGGAGGCCCCTATAACCTCACCTGATTTTCCATTCCATGAATTTTGTGGAGAAAAAAGTATTTTTTCTCATGATATTGATATATATGCTGTTACTCTTATTACTGTTAATGTGATTATCAAAAAGTTGTTAAAAATACTATAGCAATAAGAAATGATTTTTCAAAAAATCAAAGAAAAGATAAAACGGGTGAGATATATAGAACTAGTAAATGACTCCTTAGTGACTAGGCTCTTGTGGAGTCATCATTGTGTAAACACAACAAATAATATAAAATTGCACATCTAGTGGTAATGGGTTAAGAAACTGTCTGAAAATATTGAACAGTTGCTATATCTTGAGCCCAACAGGATGAAATATGACAATTACCATTCCTCCTATGTAGCCAGGCAAGAATCACCAAAAGAAAAAAAAAAGGAAAAAGAAGGAAAATGTGCAACTAATCAACATCACAAATATTGAAATTACTGTTATCAACTAAAAGGACTGTATATCAAATTAGAAAAAAAACTACAAATACCGAAATTAATGTTTTGAGCTAAAATGACTGTATATCAAATTAGAAAAAAAATCTCTAAATACATGCAGCCCTGCTATGCTTTAGGAGTTAATGCAAAGAAATATCATAAAATAAGCTATTATAATGACCATTCATCTACAAGTGCATGAAAAAATTACACTTAAGGATAAATCAGATAAAAAGGAATCTAATTAAACTGGATATATAACCATACCGTAATACTGAATCATGATAGCAGCATTTAATGACAAATATAAATTGAGAAACTTCTAAAAAATTCTAAAAGCAATCTTATACACTAAACTACTCTTTCAATCACCAGATGACAATATTACGCCCAAAATATCTTCACTATGAATATTTCAACATCTAGCTAGAAACAGGGTTTACTGAATGGAGTTTTAAATGGAAATTATGCAAATCTGGAAGTCTACAATCCCAAAACATAACAAACATCCAGAATAGTACCTTTTGAATATTAATAACACATTCATACACCATACTCTTTCAATTTGCAAAATAATCATAGTCAAATCACTTCAATCAATGTAAAAAAATGTTGAATGTTATGAAGTTATCCACCAGTATTCCATGCATCTGTTGGTCAAATCTATATTGCAAACCATTTGAAAGACAATACTGATATTTATAATACCAACTCATGAAAAATCATTTAAGAACTTATTAGGCATTACCTAAATGTTCTTTCTGTGCTCATAGTTTTTCAAAATTGGCAATTAATTCTATTCTAGTAAATTAGAGAAACAATCATTCCAACTGAATTTAAAGACTGACAATGATATTGACTAGAAAAGAGGTAGAACTGGACAAACAAATTCTTTAAAACTTACTGATTCTAATCACTAAAAATATCTGAAAATAATGAGTATATCTGAATGGTAAATCTGATAAGCAGTAAATGAAATTTCAAAGTAAACATGTTATGCATTACTTTAGATATGACAACAATCAGACTTTTAAGAATACATATTTATACAAATACAAAAAAGTAACTTTAAACTGAATGTTCAATTTATCCAATATACTGCATAACTAAAGATGACAGTTAGTCTTTGGAATAACAGCTAGTTAACTTTTTGATAGTAACTATTAGCAGTTAACTGGTCCAATTTTATCTATATGAATAAAATCAAATAAAACTTCTCAAATCATAGAGACGAAATATTCACATATAAAAAACAAAATCATTATAACATTATATGCCACTAAAATCTAGAAATATGGACATATAAAAAAGCATAATCATCATAATAATATATGCTACTAAAATCTATAATAGGACCAAGTGAAAATCTTACATTGAGGAAATAACACTGAAATTTACCTATATTCAAAAAATTTCTATTAAATTATTTGACAATAAAAAACAAGTTCCAGTTTGTTTTCAGCATCTACAGCTTTTCCTCCTACTTCTATTAAAAGAATCTAATAAATTATTGTAGCAACTGGTATGAGTCATACCCCACACACCACCCGGGTAATGATAAAAAAACAACAATAAATATCTGGATAAGAATTCTTCAGTGTTTTCCACACACCCATTTCAATTCAGAATCTGCAGCAAGCTGTGTAGCTGCATTCACAGACCGATGCTTACATTGACATGTGTACGCTCGGGTCCCACGAATAGGATTGAGACGAGACCTGAGTCGTGCAGTGACAGGGTAATTGTTGCGGAGGAAGAGATAGTCAGTGTTGTCTGACCACTGAAATCCTTCAAAGGTGATGACAGCACAATCGCACTCCAAGCACCGAAGCTGATTGCATGCTCTGTAAAATTAAGTTAAGAGGAAAAGTAGCATTTGATAAATTTAAATTCTCAACAGAATAATAAAAAGGTTACGCATTACAATGTTATATATATATATATATATATATATATAATATATATATATATATATATATATAATATATATATATATATATATATATGACTATCATATGGTGCATAAAAAGATATAGATTAAGTAGTAAAAAAGTACACAAATCAAAATCTCTCTTCATATATGAGTCACCACAGTTCATAGTTTTTATTATTGACATAATTCATCTTCATGACTATTTCTTTCTATTACTTCTTCCCTTAACCCCCTACAATTTGGATGAATTGACAATCAAGTTATGAAAAAATTTACCACAAAGGGCGAGTGCAATGAACATGCTGTCATGGAAAAAAATGGTAGAGGGCCAGAATAATGGAAACATGCTGCCATGAAAATTCTAACTGAAGGATAGGGTGACAGGAATGACTCAAATGCCTGCACAAAGGTCTTGGAGGATGATTAGACATAGTGGACAGTTAGGAAGGGAATATTGCATTGATAGATAAGTGTGGAATGTACCATCCATGAAACATGACTAGAAGAGTGCTAGCTCCAGGAAGAACACTATTTCCATGCTCAGGATCTTATTCCTGCCCACCATGACTGGCAGTGAAAGCTGTATTACAGAAAACTGAATATTATAGAAAAAAATAAAATAAAAATGAAACAAACAACAAAATGTTACTTATCATTACCATTATTGCACTGCATTATGGACTACCTATAATGATGGTAGGGAGTGTGTACCACCTGGATACAGTACCTTAAATGACAAATATACACGAAAAAATGGCAACAAAAAGCCTGTGGAGATGTTTTTGAGGGGGTCCCAGTTTTCATTGGAATCATCCTCTTGACTGTTTTGCCTAGACAGCTAAGGAGAGAGATGGGTTGGTATCTGCCTGGTTCCTATGGTTTTGGGACAGGAAGTATTTCAGCTTTTTTCAAGCTCTGGGGTAGCATGGAAGTTTGCCATGACTTGTTGATGAGCTGCAGGAATATAAGCTCACCTATAAGACCTAGGTAGGAGATGATGGGGTAAGAGATCCCATCAGAGCCTGGATTTATGTTTTTCTTAGTTCCCTGAAGGAGAACAGAGCATCTGAGTCTTCAGGTTAGAGTGCCTTGTCTCTGATAAGAGCAAGCCTGGATGGACTTAGTTGTTGGTTTGCTGCTTGTTTTGCCTGAGAACTCGTGCACTAGCCTGTCTACCTCTGAATGAGGGTTCTGATACATGGATCGTGGAGCTGAGCAGTTGGTAAGCTCACCCGACCTGTTTTCCACTACTCTGAAAGGGTGGTCGGTGACCTAAGGACTCACACCATTCCAGCCACTTTTCTTGTCTGACTCTGTTGGCAGTTTCCTTGGCATCCCTGGCAGCTTCCTTTAGGAGGGCTAAGTTGTCTGGAGTTCTTTGCTGTCAGAAGAGCTTCCTGCACATGTTGACTCTGGTTGACCTCCTTGATCTTGAACTTGTGAGTTCTGGACCATAGGGGAATTTAGGGATGGTCTGAGAGGCTGCCTGATTTATGGCATCGACAAGTCTTGCATCGAGCACTTCCCACATTTTCACTGTGTGGGGGGTTCATTGCTTCTAAGACAGTGAGCCAAGCCATTCTGGAAGACTTGCCAGTTGCTCTTGTATGTTTTCTATCAGGGAAAGTGCTGTGGTTTTTGCACTGGACAATCCAATCCAAGCGGGTGGGGACAATGCCTTTTCATAAATCCAATCAGGTATGGACAATGCCTTTTCATAAATCCAATCAGGTATGGACAATGCCTTTTCATAAATCCAATTGG